GGGGGGGGGGGGGTTCTGTTATTAAAAACGGCAGATTGCTTAAGGTCTAAGGATCTAGGGGTCTAGGGGTTATGTCTATATCTAGAATTAAGTAGGTTTTAGGGTTATAAAATCAGATGGGGGTTGTGTGGGCTAAGGGAGATGGGCCATCTGAATTTGGGCTCAATTTGGCTTTTAATTCTATACTTCTAGCAATTTGGCCAAAAATATTAATTTCTTCTCTAAAATAATACCATAAAAATGTAAAATTAATCCTTATTAACTAAAATAAACAATATTATATTGTGAGACTATTTTGGTATTTTTTTCAAGATTATATAAAAATAAAAAATCCTAGTAAAATAGTGTGACTACAATACATTAACGAAACTAATTTTGTAATTTTTATTTTTTGTGATAAAATAAAGTAAAAGAGTCAAAACTAGTTGAAATAGTTATATTAGACCTAAACTAAATATTTAAATGCTAAAATATGTAAAATCTTGGGGAGGGTCAAAAATCACTTATCTACACGACACGGTGATGCCAAGGAGGTAACTATTGGAGATGATGGAGTTTTGAGGATGCAGGGTCGTGTTTGTGTGCCTAATGTGGATGGACTTTGTGAGATGATTTTTCTATTCATCCGGGCGCCGCCAAGATGTATCAGGTCTTATGGCAGCATTATTGGTGAAGGAGGATGAAGAAGGATATAGTTGCATATGTAGCTCGGTGTCTAAATTGTCAGCAGGTAAAGTATGAGCATCAGAGACCTGGTGGTTTGCTTTAGAAGTTAGAGATTCCTAGGTGGAAGTAGGAGCGAATCACTATGGATTTCGTTATTGGACTCCCACGGACTCAGAGGAAGTTCGATGTAGTTTGGGTCATTGTGGACAGGCTGACCAAGTCAGCGTATTTCATTTCAGTGGCAGTTACCTATTCTTCAGAGCGATTGGCAGTGATTTATATCTGCTAGATCGTTCGTCTTCATGGTGTACCCGTGTCTATCATTTCTGATCGAGGTATGCAGTTCACCTCGCACTTCTAGAGGGCAGTACAGTGTGAGTTAGGCACACATGTTGAGTTGAGCACATCATTTCATCCTCAAACGGATGGACAGTCTGAGCGCACTATTCAGATATTGGAGGATATGCTCCGCGCTTGTATTATAGACTTTAGAGATTCTTAGGATCAGTTCTTTCCACTCACAGAGTTTTTCTATAACAACAGCTACCAGTCGAGCATTCAGATGGCTCCCTATGAGGCATTATACGGGAGGCAGTGTCGTTCGCTAGTTGGATGGTTCGACCCGGGGGAGGCTCGGTTGTTGGGTACAGATTTAGTACCTGATGCCTTGGATAAGGTCAAGATTATTCAGGATCGACTTCGCACAGATCAGTCCAAGCAAAAGAGTTATGCCGATCGTAGAGTTCGTGATGTTGCATTCATGGTCGGAGAGAGAGTGTTGCTCCGGGTATCACCCATGAAGGGTGTGATGAGGTTCGGAGATAAGGGCTAGTTGAGCCCTAGGTATATCGTACCTTTTGAGATTCTTCAGAGAGTGGGTGAGGTGGCTTACAAGCTCGCATTGCCACCTAGTTTATCAGTAGTTCATCCGGGTTTCCATATGTCCATGCTCTGGAAATATCATGGTGATCCGTCCCACGTGTTAGATTTTAGCTCTGTCTAGTTGGAAAAAGATTTGACTTATAAGGAGGAGCCGGTGGCTATTCTAGCCCGGCATGTTCGTCAGTTAAGGACAAAGAGTTATCCTTCAGTTTGAGTGGAGTGGAGAGGTCAGCCCGTCAAGGCAGCTACTTGGGAGTCCGAGTCGGACATGCGGAGTAGATATCCACACCTTTTCACCAGCCTAGGTACTTTACTATGTCAGTTTGAGGACGAAC